TGTTCTTACCATCATATTTCTGATTCCATTACAACATTAAACTATAATTCCAAAGAGTACTTTGATGCTAATGTACTGCCTACAATTGCCTGGAGATGGTAAGGTAACAAAGGCACCAGTTACAAAAATTTAATGTGGCATCTTATTCATGTACTGGTATCACTATTGCATGCGCCTAAAAAACAGCTCCAAAGATAACATTATGAATGGCAAATCTTTATTTAGACCACAGCCACATCATATCTAGACTAGAGTAAAGTTTCTTTGGCATTTTGCAAGAGGAGCGGAACTGATATTAAGGTCTGTGCATTTCCTGTCCTATTTTATGTGTTGCCTGACAGGAAAAAAAATATCAATGTGCTGATGTATCAGGACTACTTCCTTATTCCTCCCACTAGCTCTGAGATCAATATTTGCACTGCTGTGGCCAGACTATACGCGAGAATGAGCTTTACGCCCACACCACAGCCAGAGCTGGAGGTCTGACAGCTACAAGGAGACAAACTGGGGTACTAATGCTGCTTGCGCCAGATGCATGATACATGCTCAGCTTAGATAGTGCTGCTAGTGGAGATTTGCCTGCACTGTCATAAGCAAGTAGGACTGTGGCAACCAACACAGCATTAGCTATAGATTTGAGTGATCGAAATTCTCAGGTCTCTTTATTAACTCAACTAGTGACTAGTCGCGTGGTTCTGGCATGCATACAGCAAAAGAGCTCAAATCAAGACCACTAATGTGATCGCTGCCAATAAATGCAACAATCAGTGACACAAGTTCATTTATTAAATATGCTACGAATCTGGCTATGTTCTCCCTGTGTTTGTATGGCTTTTCTCCAGATCCTGGAAAAAGTGAGTGGTTCCGTGAGAGGCTGGCAACACTGTCAGGGGTGTACCCTGCCTCTCGCCCTACGGCAGCTGGGACACTTTTGTCATAGATGTTTAAGATCGAGCTCACTTTAAACAGTTTGTATTCTGTTTAGTCTACAGAAATGCATTATATCTCTTAAATGATATGCTTGTAGCGGCTGTTATATGTGGACATCAGCTCAGAAAGACAAGCCTACATCTTGATTTTAAAAGTATTTAAAAATACATAAAAAAATTATCTTGATCATTTATTTCAAACATCACAGTTGAAATAAATGGATTGTCCCCTGTGTGATGTGGTTATTACACTGGACACATTATTAATGAAAAAAAAAAAAAGGCAGAGTAGTAGCGAAACTGCTGGTTAAACTTTGTATATTTGGTCAACCAAGATATTTTTCATACTTTTGCAATTTTTAATTGATGTTGATTTTTTTGATTTCACTAGATAATAACTGCTTGCTTTGGTTACTCTGATGGTGACAGAGCGCCACTGGTGTGTGGCTAGTTGTGTAGTGCGACTTAAACAACGCCGTACGCTGTATGTTCCAATTTACCATTTGGAATTGAAATGTAATTTTTAGGCTGTTCTTCTGGTTTTATAGCTCAGTGCTATAAATTAATCCCATGTTACAGTGGCATATTTAGCAGGCCCTTCAAAGGCCCATAAATCTGATGGTAGAGGCTGGTATGCATCGTGCAGTGAATGTGATAACTACTCATAACTGCCAAGCTGCTTTATCTCGCAGCTCTGTTTGTGCAGCAGAACAAAATTCTTTCCACAGTAAAGCACAATCCTGTCATGTAGCTCCAAACCTTGCAACGCACTATCTCGCTCTGTGAAATGAATCACCATGGCAACACTCCACTATCTCTCTCTCTCTCTTTTTGCTCTCAAGTTCAACAAAACCAATTCTGCCTACACTTCAAGCAAATATCAGTGAATGTCATATCATAAGACATGTGCTCTTTTGGAGCCTCCTGGAGCCAAAAGGTCATAAGTTCAAACACTGGAGCAAAAAGACTGTACAATCCAGCTGTCTGGGGAGTGTGTCACAGCTTATTTGAGATATATACAATTTAGTGCTATTAACAGCTACTAATCAAAGGTAAAAAATAAATAAATACAATACAATAGAACAAAATATTTAGAAAGAGACACTTTGGAGATGCAATGTTTTCACCTAACACAGACAGACAATCATTTGCACTCAAATTCACACCTAACAGCAATTTGGAATTACCAATTAACCCAACTCGTAACATGCATGGCTAACATGCATACCCAGAGCCAAGCTAACACGAGGAGAACATGGAAAAGGCCCTGACCACACAGTGGATCTAAGATTCAAAGCGAAGATCGAAATTTTGCTTGTAAAAAACAGCATTTTTAGGCCATAAAGTTTTTCTCTGAGAACTGATTTTATTATCTTTCTCTCAGATGGGAAATCTCCTCCATGTTATTACACCAAGACTGGACTTTTTCTGAGAATTAAAGAGTCTATCAATGATCTTTACCGGGTAAACAACAGTTGTCTACATTTAGGAGTCTGGTAGACTGAGGGAGGAGGATGTGAAGGGATGGGGTGGGGTGATTAGAGGATTTGCTGTTATGCTTGTCAGCACTGTTGAGCTGTGTTACGGCTCCATCATGAATGTCACACCTACTCACTTCCAACTCACTGCAACCCCAGACAATTAAAAATTTACTGACACAGGACATTGTAAAGTAGTGGTTGAAATTACTTTGCAATATGCAAAGCTTGGTAGAAGTGTGGCCAAAAGGGGCCAGGTGAGGGTCTCTCACTAAACCTTTACTGTCCCCTATCGTTATCATATCAGTACCATATCATATAAGTGGGTAAAATTACAGATTAGACAGATCTATAAAAAACTATTCTGTCCTTACGTAAATGAAACTACAACAAAATAACAATTCAGTTTTAGCCTTTGGGGATGCACAATAGCAACTGGCTCAAGGCCCCTTATAGGTAAAGACATTAATACAGAGAAATCCCTAACAATGGGAAGACCTCCCTGAGAGCAAGCACTTTTAAATTTCATCTGGATTAAACAGGGAGCAAATGCAGAGAGTATGGGAGAAACAAGCTCTCTCTTTCAAGTCCCTGTCAGTACCCTCACTCTAGCATTTTGGATCAACTGAAGGCTTTTCAGGCACTTTTAGAAGCTCTTGTGCTTGTTAATAGCAGATGCAAAACAAAATATCTTTAGTTTTGAATATGGACTCCCTCACATCTGCCTCAGTGTCAGCACCACTGGTGGTTACTCACTAGACATTGGACGTCGGCTAGATGTGCGGACTTGTCTATATATTGGTTCTGTTGGACTACGACCAATTCTGGACATCTGTACAACATCCAAACCAGGTCCACAATTTGGACGTCCAACCATGGCCCAACTTTGACATCAGTATAACGTTAACCATTTGAACTTTATACCAGGCCATTTTTTTGGACATCATCTGGACATCCATGATAGATGCAGGGAATTTACATGATTAGTAAATATAATATTTTTTAATTTACAAATATTAACAATGTTGTTATCAACATGATACATATGAATATGGATTATTTATAAACAAACACAATTTATTATGTGTTAGCCTGCTAAATTATTCAGTACCCATGTTTCTTTGTTGTTGTTATTTTACATTTTCCTGTTTGTCTTTAACTGGTTTATTTTAATTAATAGTCCAGTATGAACTGGACTATCTGCTCAACAGTCTTTGTTGATACACACATTTTTCAAGCTGCCTGTGAGAGGCTGAGGAGATTTCGATTTGAAACCCACTGTGGAACTTCTCACTTTTGTTTTTAGCTCAGGTGCCTGCTGTATCTTGGAGATGTCCGCTGATCACACCTTTACACATAACTGTTTCTTTACAGAAAACATGCCCTCCACCCTCTGGAAACATGGCACTACAGAGCCTATAGAAGCAGTACAAAAATGACGTCTAGAATGAGTCTGTTTGACTTTGAAAAGACGTCCACAGCCACACTTTAGCCTGTACACAGAGGTCGTACAGACGACAACACTAGACCTTCAAGAGATGTTGAACGAAAAAAAGACCTTGCCTGGTGTTACAAAACAACCTCTTCAGTGGACCAAAATTGGATGTCCAAAAATGACTTATAAAAGATGTCACTCCAATGACAGCTCTAAATGTTAGACTCATGACACACATCTCTGAAAATGCATAAAATGCATCTATAATATCAAAGCACGTCTAGGTCAGAGACCGAATGATTAACTAAAGGCGGCAGCTTTATTGCTGGAGAACGTTCGAACATAAAATACAAGAAAACTAAACTAGGAACTCAAAACAAGAAGCTCAAACTAGAAAACTGGGAAACAGAGAACCAGAAGCACGGAGGAAAAACACAGCATGGTGAAGGTACAATGCAACAAAGGGCAAGGGAAAACACAAGGCTTAAATATACAAGGGAGTAAAGAGGGAATGGGAAACAGAAGGGAAACACAGCTGAGACTAATCAGCCATAACGAGACAAGGGGAAGCAAAACTAGATACACTGACATAGGGCACAGAATTTCAAAGTAAAATAGGAAACACAAATGGTAAAAATGGTCTGCATTTATATAGCGCTTTTCTAGTCCCTAAGGACCCCAAAGCGCTTCACACTACATTCAGTCATTCAGCCATTCACACACACATTCACACACTGGTGATGGCAAGCTACATTGTAGCCACAGCTGCCCTGGGGCGCACTGACAGAGGTGAGACAAGGACGAAGATGCAGACTAGACACTGAGACAGAGACACGACTAACTGGGAAGACAGAAGGAACATGGAGACAAGAGTGACAAGACGAGGAACACGAGAAAGGCAAAAGAACAGAAATATATCACAAGCAGAACCAAAATCCGTGAATATCAATAATCAAAGAATACAACTAAAACACACAAAACACTGGGTCACAGACAGTTTGTGCTGCTGTAAATCTTGCTTGCAACATTCCTTTTACTACACAATGATTTAATGACCGCTAATGGAGAGCAGGTAAATGCAATATAATTAGTGTTGGTGGACTTGAGTATAATAGCTACACTCTGTGTTAGATGTGAAAAACAATGTTTTATACTCACCTCTGATCCTTGCTCCTGCACGTGGCAGGACTCGCTGTCTCCCTCTGAAAAGGAGCCCGACTCGTCACTAGAGTTGGTGCCATAGGACTGCTCACATTTGATCTTGGGCCTCACCTGGTTAAAAACAACCTCCCCTCCTACACTTTGCTCCTGCTGGTCCACATTGAGACAGCGAGCCACATTAGAGCATGGCGAAGAAGAAAACTCAAACTGGGGCAGGCTGCAGGGAGACCCTCCGCTGCCATCCTCTGCGTAGGAGTATGAGGAGCAGGAGCTGGAAGTTCTGGTGCGAGTCTCACAAGGCGGTGAGCGCGGGCATACTTTGATTGGCACTGGGCAGCTGGTGTTGGGCCTAGGGCGGCACAGGACTTGGGGCTCAGAAGAAGTGGTGCTGGGACAATAGGACTGGGAGGTGGGTAGGGAATGGCTAGCTCCAGCCCACAGCCCCTTTGTCATGTGCTCAGAGAGCTCAATCTCCAAAGAGTTCCCAACAGGGTAGGAATGCGCTGGGTTTCCCAGGCGATTGCAAGCCCCTGAGGAAAATATGACACTGCGGCGGTCGATTTCAACTTCCTGTTTGCAAACCCCATCGCAGGAAGTTGATTTGTGGGACAAACTAGCAGGAAAACCATCCACCTCTTTTGGGGATGCAACAGATAGAGCCACCTCCCCAGTGAAAGGGCCTAAGTCTTTTGTATGATCTCCCTGAGAGTTTCCTTTGTCCTGTGGGCAGATAAGTCTGTTGGCGAATAGCTGCTGTGACGTGTTGGGCAGACTGGAGATGTCAACTCCTTTCTTGAAGAAGGCTCGCAGGCAGGAAGGGGACTTGGGTCTCTTGGTTCTTTCTACAGATATAGGGTTATCCATCTCCATGGCTGTTATGACATCCGTATCCCTGGCGTCCTGCTCATCCCCTGACAGGCACAAAGGAATGGCCTCTTCCTCTGCCTGTGGTTCCACTTTGATCTGTGCCAAAGGCAGTGTGCCCTGATTTGCCACTGCCCCACTAATGGTGGTCTCCTTTAATGTGCTTGGAAAACCTGAGGTACTGGTATGTGAGGAGGAGTCATTATTGTGCTTGTTGCAAGCCCACTGGTATTTCCGGTACTTGGGGCATCGCGGCAGATCCGATGCTCCATGGCGATCGAAATCTGGCCGGCTATCTGTGAAGTTACCAGGCATAGCCATCGTTAGCCGATCGTTGTCGGGGTCTCGACACGAAGTAAGGGCATCTGCACAATGTCGGGCCATGGGGGAGGTGGGCCTTTCTGCTTCTGATTGCATGTTCTCATCCTCCAAGTTATTTACTTCTCCTGCCACCTTGTGGCAAAGCAGCAAGCCGTCCTCCTCACTGCGCAGCTGAGCTTCCAGGAAGCGAAAGCATGAGTCCTCGAGGTTGTGCATGCGCAGGAATTCAGCACAGCGGATGACCTCCTGAATGTTTTCTCTGCTGAGTAACAGCTTAGCAGTGTAGGCAAACTGCAACAATGGGGCGAATCCTCTGGCAGTGACCTGCAAAAAACAGGGAAATTGCCAGCATTACTATCAGCGCAGCTATTGTTCAGAGCACTTGGAGTGTGGTGAGACAAACTGACAGCTCCAATGACATACAAAAACACTGCAAAGTACTGGTTAATCTTTTTATTGGGCCAGCACTGAGCATTCTATACAGAAGTAAAAGAAGATCTGGTGCTATACTGGACGTAGGTACGTTGTGTCCATCTTTGTGCTCATAATACCAATCTGTGGGACATTCCAGCATCAACACGTCTGCTCCACAGTCATACAGAGTTGGCTTTGCCTACAGTCCTGCTACTGCTGTATTTGCAAAATTCTTATTTGCAGTGAGATGTATAAACACATGCAGTGGTTTATGTTTAGTTACCTATTTTTACCCTTGACATGAGAACTATAAAACAAAGAGATAGCTGTACTTCAAAGCTATATGATAGTAATTCTTAAAATAATTAGCAATGATCTTCACAAACTGAACAGTAGATCATAGCGAAAGTTTCAATATTGATAATAAATTAATACTTTTTGGATAATAATACATAAAAACACTTTTCCTTTCACATTTTGTATGGTTTCCGCCTATTCCCATTGTCACTATGTGGCATTGGCTAATAGAGGGAAGCTTTCCATTCCATGTTTGTATACTTTATGGAGATCAGCATTAGATTCACACTAGGTTGTGTTCAGCTCTTTACTCTGGCTCTACCAACCAATTCCTGCAGGTTTATCCCAGGTTAGGTTAGGTACATACAGGTTAGGTTACTTCACTGGTGACAAACACAGTGAAGGGAATGTGATAGAAGCTACTTTTGAGTGTCCATTAATGTAAAGTCTTTAGCAGATGCTTGTAGATGAAAAGCATGAGTAACACAATATGGGTTTAATAAGCCCAGTGTTTAGTTGTTTAGCTGTCTTTGCTGGGGGAAGCAAGAAACTAAATTACCCATGGTATTCGGTGTGCTCGAATAGCAGTAGCTTCCAAAGGTGCTGCAGTCACTGTCAGACACCCCAGAGAGCAGCAGCAACAATCTGTTTTTTATAAGGACTGTTGGGGAAACTGCTTTGACTACCAGTGGCTTAACACTTTACACTGGACTGGTTTTTATATGGCACTTTTCTACTCTTCCTAGCATTCAAAGGGCTTTATACAAGACACCTCATTCACGCCTTTAACACAAGAACCTTTTTTTTTTTTTAGCTTAAATGCTTTCTAATATTCACATACATTCACACTCCGATGGAAGCATCAGAGAGCAACTTGGAGTCAGTATCCAGCATCTAAGGATATTTATTAGTAGAGTGGAGCAGCCAAGGTTTGAACCACCAACCCTCCGGATTTTGGCTTACCCAGGTAACTTCACCCTGGGTTTTCTGCACTACAAATGTGGTTCACTTCTTACAAGGGTAGATCCCCATGGATTTTTATTCTTTGTTTTCTTTTTTCTTCTGTTGGCGGCGAACAAATTTATAATAATTTTATTGTTCGCTATGATCCAAAAAAATGACTACTGTACTTGCTGACCTCACATCAAATTTGTACTAATTTGGAACTTTATATTTAGTCTTTACTCTCAAACCCTAAAACAGCACATAGTCTGCAAATGAATGAAGAAGAAAATAAAAACTAAAACTGTCCGGAGCCCGTCATGTTCAGAATTTGGATTTAAAATCAGGTGAAAGAACCAAATTTTCTATGATTCTTTAAAAAAAAAAATAACAGTATAAAAATACGTTGTTGCACTTTACCAAAACCACAAAGTGGTATATTAATGCTGTGTTCTACTGAATTCTACTTACCTCTTTCATACTCCTGGCAACAACAATACAGCAATACCTAACTCTCCTAATCAGTCACATTCATTTCACTTTGATGTGCGACAAACCGAGGTGATTTCCATGTCTCTTTTATCAGGCTGTGGGACAGTAAGTTTCAGTGTTTCAGTGGATCCACTTTACATTTTCAGAGCACTTTACATCACCTAAAGCAACTAAAGCTGTTCATAAAAAGTAGTTCAAACAACTGTAAGAATATCAAATTGACAATGTACTTGTAATATAAACTAGATAGATAGATAATATAATACAATAAATATAATATACCAGCAAATAATGCCACTCAACTGAGTGTATTTCAGACTAAAAGAAAAAAGACACTTAAAACAAAAATATTTAACTTTAGTTGTTCATTATGTCCATTAGCTACTCTGCAGAAAGAAGTCCAAGTAGGAGCAGTGTAGTATGTACATGTACATATATCTTGAGCTCATTTGTTGTATGGAATGAAGAAGATACAAACTGCCATGTATCGGG